TTACAACAACAATTGAATTTAAACAATGAAACTGTGAATAATTTAGGGGAAAATGGAAGTAATCATCAATAAATTTTGAATAAAAAATTCTTTAATTTCCAGATTCTTCAACCGCTTCTGTAATTCGACAAAGCGGAGAGGGAGGAGTATCTGCAGAAAATGGAGGTTTACCTTTAGAAGGTGCTACAAATGTTACATTACCTTCTCCTCCGCGTTTTGGAATTAGTCAAATGCTTCAAGAAGAAAATGAAATAAGCAATTCTTCTTCTTCCTCTACTACAACATTATCTACAACAAATAATTTAAATGAAACTAATTTATCTACTACAATTTCTCAAAACAACATTAGCAATACTTCAAATGAAATTCAAACAACAATAATTCCAACAACAAACATTTCTAATATTGAAGCAGAATCTCCAACAACAATTTCAACAACACAAACAACTAACAACACTGACGAACATCCACAAACAACAATTGTAATAACAACATCTGAACAACAGACAAACATTTCCTCACCAAACATTATTACACCAACAGAACTTTCCGGAAATTCTTTGTCTCCGGAAAATGAGACAAACAATTTAAATACTAGTTCTAGTCAACAACAAAATTCTGAAACTTTTACATCCACTACTATATTACCTACAACTGTTGAAATACAACAATCAACTTTAAATAATAAAATAGAAGAAACATTAGAGAATTCAACAACAACATTAGCTGCAAACACAACATTAACTATAAATTTGGAATCAACAAACACAACAACTTTAACTAATAATGAAACATCTACAGGTGAAAGGTCGAAAAAATTATTTTTTCTAAAAAACAAGAAAAATTCTTTTTAAGCAATATTTCAACAAACACAACAGCAGAAATAACTACACAACCTACAACAATTATATCAAATGAGAAAACAAACAAACCAACAAATGTTTATTTAACAACAAAAACAACAACAGAAAAACATTTAATGGAAACCTCAGACAATAAAAACATTTCAACAAATTCACCAGAAACAACAAAAGCAACATTAAATAAAACAAATTTTTCTAATTTACCCGGGTCAAACGAACAACCAGAAGAACGCGGAATTAAATTACCTATTGCAACAAGTTCTGAAATTCTGATTTCTTTTCAGATTAAAAATTCTATATTTTTAAAGGTAAATGTGACGCCCTTCGGCCGGACTTGCCTATTTGTCGTTCATATATGGATACTTATATTGAACGAGTTAAGGATTGGTCTGAAAGGCATGGTGAACCTTTGGAAAGACAATTTCCTAAAGTAAAAATTTTAAAAAATTATTTTTAAAAAATAATTTATTTAAGGCTTGTCGATTACTCAATTCTGTTCCCCATGTACCGACATTGTGTTGCCAATTATTTAATGATAGATGCAATGATTTTATTTAAAAAATGTTTTTTTATTGTTAAATACATATTCCCAAGTTAATTTTTTTCTCAATTTTATAATTATGTAGATCGCCATAAAAATTATTTTTTAATAAAAATTTTATTGAAATTATATATACTCGTCACATAATTAAGTATATGAACACCTCTAAATACCATTTAATGGAAACCTCAAACAAATACCACTCCTAAATACCAATTTTTAACTTGAATATATTTTAAAAATCGGCTAAATCTATTTAGAAATAAAAAAATCGGGAGATTGTTTGAAGGTAAAAAATTTTATCAATAAAATTATTTAAATAATGAACTTTAATAACTTTTTTAAATTAAAAGTGAAGAAAAGATGTTAAATTTCAAAAAAGAAAATATTTTATAATTTCAAATAAGGTTTTTGAGGAATTTTTAAAATTCGATTTTTACATTTAACCAAAAAAGATTCTATCAACTTTTAAAAATATACATATGTATATTTATAGAATAAAATTATAATAAAAATTAACGAAGATTATAAATTTTACAGAGACTTTATACAAATTTTAATTTTAAAACAGTTTTAAAAATAAACATTTGTCTATTACATATCATCTCTCAAAAAGTTTAATTTTCTTCAATTAATTTTTCAGCTACAAAACAATCATTCATTAAATAATATTCATCATTAAATAAAAACCACTTTTGTCTTTTTCCAATTAATTCTTGAAATTTATTTTTACAAACTTTTTTAATTTCTCTTAATTTTAAATTTTTTGTTAAATTATTTTTTGTATCTTTTATTTTTCCTTTCTCAATTTCAAAAAAATAATTTCCATCATCAATTAAAGGTTCTAATTTTAAATTAAAATAATTTGTATTTTCTAAAATATTTTTAGACAACATTTCTCTTGTAAAAACAAATTCTTCTTCCTCCTCGCCATTTAAATTTTTCTTAATTTTTTTAACACAAATTTCAATTCCAAATTTACATAAATTTAATATTTTAATTTCTTTTAATGTTATATTCTCGAATATTTTAGAAATACATTTTTCTTTTTTATTTTCCAATACTTTAACAAAAAATCCAAAATATTTTCTATTATTTAAAGATTTTAATTTAATTAAATAATTCCCCTCTTCTTTAAATTTTAAACAAATTTCAATTAAATTTTCTTTTTGTTTATTTAAAAACATATTTAATTTAGTTAATTTTGTTTCTTCTCTATTGTTATTTTGAATTTCTTTTTTTGGTTCAAAATATAGAGGATAACGAAATAAAGGCTCAATTTCTAACAATACCTATAGAAAACAAATTACATTTGTAAAGGCTGTTAAATAAAATAAAAAATTCCTCTAACAAATAAGGCTGTTAAATTAGCGGCGAGGTGTAATTGCTAACACATCAGTCCGGTCTACTGAAGATACTGGTTTGCACCCAGACGCCGATTAACCTTTTGTACTATCTGAAGGAGAGAAATAGCTATAGCCCAGCTGCTTTACTCAATTTAAAAATAAAATAAAAACAAACATTTCCATAATCAAATTCTATATATTTTTTTAATTTACAAATTACAATCCCCTTTCTGTAATTTTTATTTAAATTTTCAATAAATTTTAATTTAATTATTTCATTGTTAACATTTCCATTATTTCCCAACAAATACATTTTCGTATTTTCATTTTTATTGCAATAATCATTTAATGGGGTTATATAAAATTGCTTGGGTTTATTTAATATTCTTGGATCAACTTCAATTAAAATTTCTACCATTTCTTGATCATTATTTTTGTTTATAGAAATATTTTTTAAATTTATATATTTACTAAATTCTCTGATAATAAAATTCTGTTCATTCAATTTTTGAATATTTTCAAAAGAAAAATTTAAAAATAAAAGTAATAAAAGAATTAATTGAATAATCATTTGTTTTGTTGAATATATTTAAATAAAATTTATTAATTTAAAATTATTTAATTTGCCCTTTTAAATGAAAAGACCAAATAGGTAAATAGCTACGTGAATAGCTATTTCGAAAATACTTAAGAAATAAGGTAGACTATTAATTGACTCTTTTTTCGCAATTAAAAGTGAAGAGGCAATGTTTTTAAAGAAAATATAAAAATTTATTTTAATTTAAAATTACAAATTTTGAAGAATTTTTGAAATTAGCTTTTCTATTAATTTAAAAGAATTCCAAAAAATTTCTTTTTAAAAATTTATTTTTAATCCTTTTTAATAAAGTTAAGCAATAATATGTATAAGTATAAGGGATAGCGCCGACACGATTCCCGAAAACCGTGAATCCGAAATTTTCGTGAATTCAAAATTCCCGAAAATAATGAATTTTTCTGTCGACGCGATCCCTTATATGTACACTCTGTTAAGAAAGTATAAGCACCCCCAAATTTTTGCAAAAAATTCACAATCACTAAACATTAAATTTTTTATTTTTTCCTACATTAGCAGTGATCCAAACCGTCAATAAAATTAAAGTTTCAGAAATTTTTCTCGATCCAAAAATTTAAAAATTGAATTTTCTCAAAGTTGAGGTGTTAAGAAAGTATAAGCACCCCTGTAAAAATTTAGTTTCTACTTATTGAAAAATTCTACAAAAAATGCAGTAAATATGTCTATCGATATCATGGAAAATAAAAAAAGAATTAGGCCCATATCTCATTTCACTGTCGAAATCTCGATACCCTGAAAATCAACGTAAAACAGGGGTTTTCAACTTCAAAAAAATTTTTCGATCCTTTGTGTATTTTTTAAAATTTTTATTTTAGGCTCGATCGATAGCCCTTGAAATTTGCTATAAACTAGCCAAATTTCATTTTTCAAAAAAATTTCACTCCCGAGAAAAAAACGATGCTTCTCCAAAACGCCGTTTAAGAAGCAATTTATGGGGTGTTTGTTGTTTTTTGTGACTCTGGCCTCTACAGCTAACGAAATATTTTTTTCTCGGGAGTGAAATTTTTTTGAAAAATGAAATTTGGCTAGTTTATAGCAAATTTCAAGGGCTATCGATCGAGCCTAAAATAAAAATTTTAAAAAATACACAAAGGATCGAAAAATTTTTTTGAAGTTGAAAACCCCTGTTTTACGTTGATTTTCAGGGTATCGAGATTTCGACAGTGAAATGAGATATGGGCCTAATTCTTTTTTTATTTTCCATGATATCGATAGACATATTTACTGCATTTTTTGTAGAATTTTTCAATAAGTAGAAACTAAATTTTTACAGGGGTGCTTATACTTTCTTAACACCTCAACTTTGAGAAAATTCAATTTTTAAATTTTTGGATCGAGAAAAATTTCTGAAACTTTAATTTTATTGACGGTTTGGATCACTGCTAATGTAGGAAAAAAATAAAAAATTTAATGTTTAGTGATTGTGAATTTTTTGCAAAAATTTGGGGGTGCTTATACTTTCTTAACAGAGTGTATAATAGAATCAAAATAAAAAAATACAAAAAATTAATTTTAAAAACAAAAATGATGTCAAGAATATTTTTAAATAGTTAACAAAAATTAGAAAAATAATTTGATTAAATTCTTTTTTGAGAATTTTCTGTTCACAATAAAAAAGATTTTATCACAAAATATTAATTATTAACAACAAAAGTACCAAAATGTTTCGTCAATTCCTGTGCCAACATCGAAGCAAAAGTAATATTTTCACAATTAAGTTGCAGACAAAAAGTTGAATAATTTAATGTATTTTGTTCTAATTTCGAAGTTTCCGGAAAGAATGAAATTAATACAAGTGTTTTGTTTGACACAGTTTGAGCAGCAAAATATAACTAAAAAGTGTGAAAAGTTTAAAAAACAAAAAAAAATATTAGGGGGAAGGGAAATATAGAGAAGGAAAACATTTGTATTTTTCTAAAAATAATTTTAAAAAAGATTCACAAGCACCAAAAATATATTTTCCTTCTATTCCTTTCACAAACAATTTTAAGAAAATTTCTTACATTTGCTCCCAATTCAATTTCATCTTCGCCAACAACTTGTTTACAATTACAAATTTTATACAATTCTCTAACCAAAATTAAATCAGAAGGTAATTTTAAATTGTTTATTTTAATTTGATTCATTCCACTAAGAAGACTGCGTTGTTTAAGAAAATCATTTTGAGATATTTGAACAGATTCAATTTGTTCTCCATATGGAGCCTTTAAAGAATAATATTTAATCAAATCAAATAAAAATCTTTTTTTCTTCACCTTCACTTCAAACCGAACAAATCTTTCTCCATCAGGCCCCCATTTCACCGTCCATTCCGATACTTGTGCAGTATCACCAAAATTTATTCCAATAGTTACACGTCGACGTTCACCTTCCCCAAGTCCATTTAGAGTAAATGGGCCGCTTGTTTGAAGTAGACACTAAAAGAGAATTAAAATCAAAACATCAAAAATTTCTCCAAACATTCGAAGCTGGTGCCAAAAGGACATTACTCGAATTTATTTGTGTATTTTTAAAACATATTTGCAATTCAATACACACCATAGAAGCTGAATAAAGACATGGAGAACGACAAAAACGGCCAAAAATTGAAAGACCACCAGAAACAACTGGAGCAACAAAATTAAACTAAAAAAGAGAAAGAAAAAAATTAAGAAATTTTATTATTTTATTAATATTCAATTAAATATTTCAACCCAAGTTTGAATTGTGTGTCAGAAATCCGGCTTTTGAGTAGGCAATATTTATCCCTCAGGCTGAATTAATCGCAAAAATTTACTGTAAATTCCTCATTTGCCCATTGTGCCGAAGCACGAAGCCATGCAGAGCGTCGAACAGGCAAATCCACATTCGGCATAACAAAGTCGGAGGATGTCGTATTGATTGAAGACGTTCCAAAATCAATTCCCAATAATAACAAATCATCATTTGACTCTTTTTCATCCGTTTTTGAAGGTTTTGAAACTTGTTTGGTTTCATAATCTTTTTTCGGCGATGTTTTTATTTCTTTACGAGGTTCGTCAACTTCTGATTCATCTAAAAATAATTGTAAAAGAATAATTAGAACATTAGTAAAAACCGTCTTCATCTTCATTTTCTTCATCCTCTTCTTCTTCTTCCTCCTCGTCCTCATACTCTTCTTCATCCTCATCTTGCTCTTCATCAGAACCAGATTCAACACTAGTATATTCATCTTCCACACTTAATTTTTTAGTCTTTACAAGTTGATTAGCAGCTTCAAGCGAATCAGAAGGTAAAGGATATGCATCTCGACGAATTGTAGGGTCAGGTTGAACAGTTGGAAAGTCAGGTAAATGCTCATAACCCGAACATTTCTAAAATATTTATTTTCTCTTTTATTTTCAATTTTTATTTATTTACCTGATTTAAAAGATGAGAAAGTGTTCCAAGTTGGAAATGCTCAACTCTATCAGCAAAAGGATTTTGCATTAATGGAGCTGGACGATCACTTAAGAATATTTCCAAAGGAAATTTAACTATTCCTTCATCATCTTTTTGAAAAATTTTTTCTCCATTTAAAATATTTCTTTCAATTGAGGAATCATTATTTGTTGTTTCTTCATTATTTAATTCCTCAGATTTAGTTATAGAAGAGCTCGAAAAATTATCATCAAATATTTTTTGTTCAACAATAGCAGAGGAAGTTGGAGAAACTTAAATAATATTATGTAGTACTAGTAAGAACAACTTAAATATATACTAAACTTTCAAGGTATTGGACAGTAAGGTTGGCGGATCCGGATCCGAAAAAAAGGCTGGATATCCGGAAATTTTCGGTTCGGATCCGGATATCCGAAAATTTCCAACTATCCGCCAATCTTATTGGACAGTTGTTTAAGAAATTATTTTAAAAATACAAAATTTCGTAAAGAGTTTTTTGTATTTAACACAATTTCATTAAATTGAGTTAACTTTTCAATCCCTTCAAAAATATCAAAAAAAAGAATTTTAAATATTACAATTAGAAAAAAGCATATTCCGTAAAAAACGGCAACGATCACGAATATCATAAGAGCGATCATAACGTGCCAATTGAAAAATATAGTCAATAAGTAAATTTATTTTAGTGTTCTTATTGTCTTTTAAAGTTTCGATTATATATATTCTAACCGCCAAATTAAGTGCTTGAAGCTGAAAATTATTTTTAAAAAATACGTAAAATATTTTTAATAATTTACCTTAACACAATCAGCTTCATCAGCAAACGTTTTAGCCACTTTTCTCAACAAGTCAGGAGCTATATTAGGTACTTGATTAATGTGCATGCCAATTAACCAAAGAATACAAGCACGTGCTAATGGTGCCTTAAAGATTATAAGAATTTTTAAGAGATAAAGCAAAGACACTAATCAGAAGAAAAATTGCAAACAAATATAATAAATTTTTTAACGAAACCAAATTCACATAATTGTCAAGTTTCCAATTACCTCGGGATAGGAAAAATGGCTCTAGAGAATGGAGTTTCACAATTTTCTAAAATTTCGTTTATTAATTTACAAACCTTCACATTTTCCATAAGACGAGAAACTCTCTTTAACAAATTCAAAGGAGCATCAGAATGTAATAAACGTTTCAACACAACAACAGCAACACAAACAATCTCTTCCCGAGCATTTGGATCAGATATAATTCTAACTAATGTAGCTAAACAAGTTTCAGATGCAGCTGAGGGGACAGCTAAAGCACATCGACCTATTGCTTCTACAGCTTCTTCAGCCAAATCAGTCATTTGCATATAAGCCTTTTTAAATGAAAATATATAAAATTTATTGGAAGATGTGGTAAATCAGAATAAATCAAAAAATAGTTAATAAATATTTATAAGCAAAAACACAATTTTAATATTGTGTATTCTTAGAAATAATTTAGAAATATTTATAAAAAAACCTGTAATTCTCTAATAACAAGTTGAACATTAGATTCATCCACTAAACAAGTCAAAACATTTAATTTTAATTTCTTAACTTGCATAGCATCAGAAGAACGAACAAAGAAACTTTTTAGAAAAGGTGAAAATAAAGTCTAAAAAATTTTCTTTTTAATTTTTTTTAAAAAAATTAATAAAAACCTTATTAACTGACAAAATTGTTTCTTTTTTATTTTTTACTTCCTTTTCATTTTCTTCTTTAATTTTTTCATTTCCCCATCTAGAATTATTTGAACATATCATACTTGCAATATTAACCAAAATTATATAAGAAACTTCATTTGTTCCACGCAAAAGACGAACGAGGGCACGTGGGACTGCAGAAAGTTGGGCAAATGGGGCAATATAATAAAGTAATTGGGACACTGCCTAAAAAAGGGAATCATTTTTTTAACAAAATAAAAAACTCATTATCGAAAATTGGAAAAAGACATTAGTAAGTCACAAGAGATTATCCAAAGGGGTCTGTTTTGGGGAGCCTTCAGTCCCTTCCCACTGGATACGCTCTTGGCAAGTCATCCAACTTTTAAAAAACAAAAAAATAACCATAACAACAGCTGGATTCCTACTCTGCAGTAATGGGCGCACAGCAACTAGTAAGAGGTTGTGATCAGGATCTAGCGTTTGAGGTGATTTCTTTTGAAGAAAAATAAAAAATATTCAAAAAAATTAAAAAAAAACTGTTTTATTTAATTGACTATCCTCGCTTCCATCGCTATCAAAACTTTTAGTTTTACTAAAACTTTGTCGATTTGTTGTAAGATTATTGTCTGGAGGTGCTAAAAATTGTGTACGTGCATAACGTGTTAATAATCCAATCATAACAATTTGCCCCCTAAATTTAATTTTTAAATAAAAAACTTTAAAAAAACCATTCATCAATATCAGCTAATGCCCGACAAAGTAATCGAAAATGTCTATGTAATAAATCTATACGTTCAGGGCATGTCTTTTCAAATGCATATACAGCAGACCCGAGAACAAGCGTTCGTTTATCTCCTATAAATAAAGGAAAAAATTTTTAAAAATTATTTTAGGTAAATAATCGGAAGGTAAAATAATATAGAAAATAATTTTCAAGATTGGGAATGTCAAAAACTTAAGTAGTTAAACAAATAAGGGGACATTGATATTGGAAACACATCAAAAATAAAAGAGAAAATATTAAATGTAAATATTAGAGAGCCCCTTTTAAAAAGACAAATGTAAAAAAATCTCCAAAATTGCCAGAAAATCTAAATATTCAGTTAAAACTTGAATTTTAATAAATTTTAAAAATACCTAGCAAAAAATCAATGCATTCAATTAATTGATTTTGCAATTCCGGATCAAGTGCATACAATTTTGGAATGGCATGAGCAGCAACTTTGCGGACATAAGGACTCATATCGCGTACAGAATCTCGAATAGCCAACATCATTACAGGGGCAATCATTTGTACTCTAATTGAAGAAAGAACACGAAGAGCACTTGCCTATAACAATTTGGGGAAATATTTTTGAAAAGGAAATTATATTTACTCTAATTAATTGATTTGGATCTTTTAATCCTCGTTGAAAAGTACTGATTGATAAAAGTGCCAAATCTTGTTGTTCTTCAGCATAACGAACCAAATATACATAAACTAACTTTTTCAGCTATTAAAAATTGAAAAATAAATTTTTTTTAATTTAAATAAATTAACCTCCAAATTTTTTGCCGCAACATTTTTTACAACAGCAGGAAATAAATCAGAAACATCTTTACCCCTTGCAACCATCTGAAATATAATTAAATTTAAAAAAATATTTTTAAACATTTTATACATTAATTATCCGTCTCATTGCATCCATTTTAACATTTTCTTTATTGCTGTCAAGCATTGCCTTTAGATCAGTGAATTTTCTTTAAAAAATTATTTTAAATGTTTAAATATAATTAAAAATAACAAACCCTTTATTGTCCAAAATTGTCCCACTTTCAGCAATCTCTATTTCAGGAGTAGTGGCCATAGATGGATATGACATTCGCATTTGTTATTTAAATTTAATTCTAAATTTATTTTTTTTATAAAAATGGATTTTACTTTTTGGGACTTGAAAATATTACAAAATGAAATTTTTTGGAGTTTTTTTTTAAATTAAGGGGCTTTTGAGTCTAATTTTTATTGAATATTTTGTATGTTTCTTGAAATTTAGGTAGTGGACGACTCAGAGTCGCCGATTCAGATTAGTGAACGACATATCTACGTTTTCGTCGATTCGCGGCGAATAACTACTTTTATTCGCGAACGACTTTTTTTTAATACAAAACGCCAGAACTACGTAAATATCGATGTTTTGCGCCAAACGATTGCGAAACGACTTTTTTGTGTCTCTTTTTCTCTAATTTCACATTATATTTCCTTTCTCTTTTTCTATTAATTTTCGTTCAGTGCGGTCTCTCAATTTGTAAGGAGGTTTTTTGTAAATTGGATTTCATTTTTTTTATTTTTAGGGGTTACAAAAGTTTTTTTAAGGCTTTGGAGGTAGGAAAGGAAATTTGAAGGAAAATTGCAGAAAAATTGAAATTTTGAAGCTGTAGAATTAATGCCTGTCTCATTAGCCTCCTAGTACAACATTTGGAAGTCTTATTGTTAATGGTAGTAGTGAATTTTCAGAAGCAAACACTTACCATCAACGACATTTGGAGCAGCAACCATTATCAGGTTATTTTGTTTTTCGGTGCATTATAATTTGTGGGTAAATTACTTTCCGGGTTAAATTACACTTCCCGAACCGAATTTCGCACCCTGAAACTTGAATGAGCTATCGTTTGTATAAACTTTTTTACTCCAAAAAACCGCCCCTAAGGTTTCTCAATATTCAGTGATCTGTATCCGAATATTGAGAAATCTGAATATTGGTCAGATTTCATTGATCCTAGAATTAGTTGCTAAATTTTTTTCATTCCTAAATTTTTTCTTTTTTATGTTTAATCAAAACTTGTTTGATGTGTGTCGAACTCCATCCTACGGCTGCAACAATGGGGAAACAATAGGAGAGGTTGTTTTTTAAATCTTATTTTTTTGGAATTTTTTAAAATTTTTTCAATTTTTTAATTCATTTTTCTAAGTGTTACAACGACGTGCTCGGGCGATTTGCTGTTGAAGTGATTCTGCCTGGCAACCTTTGAATTGCAGTCTTAATGGAATAGAAGATGTTGGAATTTCGTCACAACAGCCACAACCCAAACGGCCCTCTTTAGGGCCACAAATCTAATGAGTGAAACGAGACATTGGCTTTTAGTTTTTTTGATAAATTTTTGTTTATTTGTCTCATTTTTTTATTGAAATTTTGTTTTTAACTTCCCCCTATGCCCGAAAAAGCCCAAGAAAAGCCTAGAGTCAAGATTCGACTACATTTGAAAATGTTCTTTAGAAAATGTTCAACAGAATCTTCGCTGGAAAATCTGTGGGAATATACTAAAGCGACCCCAAATCAAGTAGATGATAATTTTTTTTTATCAATTCTTCGTTTTTTTCTATTGTTTTCTTTTAATTATTCAAAACATACAAAATTGGTATGTTTTGTAAGTTTGATGTTTCATTCGATGGAGCTTTTCGAGCTGTTTCGAATGGTGCCAAAAATAATTCGAACAGACAAAAATAAAGGAAGTTATGGCCCTACAAAGTTTTTGGATTCCAAGAAAAATGGACTGCACAAAACAAGAGAGACGAAAATTAATAGAAAAAGAGAAAGGAAATATAATGAAAAATTAGAGAAAAAGAGATACAAAAAAGTCGTTTCGCAATCGTTTGGCGTAAAACATCGATATTTACGTAGTTCTGGCGTTTTGTTTATTAAAAAAAGTCGTTCGCGAATAATTGTAGATTTTTTTAAAACGACTTTTTTTCCTTAAGAAAAAGTCGATATGTCGTTCACTAATTCAGATCCGCCGATTCAGAATTCAGAGTGCCACAAAATAATTTTTAATAAAAATTTAAAATTTTTAAAATTTTCTTTAATTTTTCGGTTTTGTTTAGTAAAATGATGGAATGGTGTTGTTATGTTATAATGGCATAAATAATCTGTAAAGAAACATGAAAACAATTAATTGACTTGAATTATGTCAAAAAGTCAGCAAGACTCATTTGTCTTTACATTTATTTTCAGTCTCAGCACAAACCTAAACCTTTAGGCTTGCTTGTCAATAGAGTCTCGGCGACTTAGCATCGAAACGCCTTTTTCTATGCAATAACTTTTTTTATTTCGATCATTTCCAGAAATTTTCTTTATCAATTAGAATCTATATTTGTTTTTATTCTTTTTATTAACTTTATGAAAGGATCCGATCATTTCTTAGAAAGTTACACCCGCCTAAGCATGTTAAATCACGATTATTCGCAGTTAACGGCTCCTAACTTTTTTGAAAGACGGTAAAACTAAAAAATTTCTATGAAAAAATAACCGGCACATCCAGAGCTTTTAATTAAAGCAAAAATTATTTGGATTGATTTAAAAACAAAAAAGTTATATCCCAAAAACTTTCGTTTTGATGCCATATTTTAAGACTCTTTCGTTACCTGGTTACTTTTAGTCTAAACCTTTTGAAGCCTAAACCTTTAGGTTTTTGAACATTTGAGTCTCAGCACGCCCCTAAATTTTCTTAATAGTTTTGTCTTTTTTTATCGTTTGGTCTTCTTAATTAGTGTATAAAGATGAACCAGAACTGATATTATGGTAATAGAAATCCTATAAATTAAGAATCACATAGATAATTTTTTGAATTTATTTATGAATTCCTTGGAGAATTTCATTCCTGGATGGAATAGAAGCGATGTTGGAATTTCGTCAACAACAGCCTCAACCAAACGGCCCTCTTTAGGGCCACAAATTTAATAAGTGAGATGAGGACAATGACTTTTATTTTTTGATAAATTTGTTTATTTGACTCATTTTTTTTAAAAATTCGTTCACTGAAGAAAAAAGTCGAGACCAAGACCTCACCCTAAGACCGAAAAACCTCAAGAAAAGTCTAGAGTCAAAACTCGGCAACTTTTTAGAATGTTCATCAGATCGTAGGAACTGAGAAAAACCACAAAAATCGCAAGAAAAACTGGTTTTCTAGGTCCAAAAATTTATGTACTCTGAATCGTCTCCTTTTAGCCGTACTCTGAATTGTCCCCTACTCTGAATCGGCGACTCTGAATTGCCGACTCTGAATCGACCTTTTCCCTTTAATTTAAGGGGCTTTTGAGTCTACATTTTTATTGAATCTTTTTCTTGAAATTTATAAGGTAGTTTTATTGTTTTTTTCTTCTTTTATTTTTTTAATTTTTCAGGTATAACATTAATTAGTGAAAATGTCTTGTTCAGCAATATTTATTCTAGATCAGAAGGGAAATGTTTGTTAAAATATTTTCTTTAAAAAATAATCTTTAAATGATTTAGGTAATTATGTCGCGAAATTTTCGTGGAGATATAGATGTTTCTGTTATAGAGAAATTTATGCCGCTACTCGTTGAGCAAGAGGATGAGGGGAGAGCTTCACCAATTATACAAAATGGAGAACTTAGCTATATTTTTATTAAACATATGAATATTTATTGTTAGTTTAATTTTATTTAAATGGAGAAAGGGCTCGAGTTCGGAGTAAGTTGTCTGAATCTAAAACTAGATTTTTCTTTATTAGATTCAGAACATCTTTCAATTTTGAGTTCCATTTTTTTCATTAATTCTTGTGAAATTTAAATATTTTACGAAAAATGTGAAATCACCCTTAAGAATTTTTTTGCTGTTTCATCCTTACTCTTCGCTTTTTTTAATTCGAATCTCTAAATAAGGAGATTGAGGATTTTAATGATTAGGGTGTCAAAAATATTTTTTCTTAAAAGTACCTATTTTAACTTTAAAAAATTCCAGTAGTTGCACTTTCTCAAAGAAATCCAAATGTGGCAATGGTTCTTTCATTTCTTTACAAATGTGTTGAAACTTTTGTTTGTTATTTTAAAGATTTGGAAGAGGAATCAGTTCGTGATAATTTTGTTGTTATTTATGAATTATTGGATGAAATGCTTGATTTTGGGTTTTGATTTTCTTTTAAATATTTTTAAATCTTTAATTTAATTTTTAAAGTTATCCACAGACAACAGAACCTCGAATTCTTCAAGAATATATAACACAAGAAACTCAACGACTGGAGATTGCACCTCGTCCACCTATGGCTGTTACAAATGCCGTTTCTTGGCGTTCAGAGGGTATAAAATATAGAAAGAATGAAGTGTTTTTGGATGTTATTGAATCTGTTAATTTATTGGTAAATTTAAAAATTTTGTTTTAAAAAAATTAAAAATTTAAAGGCAAATGCTAACGGAACTGTCCTTCGAAGTGAAATTGTTGGGTCAATTCGAATGAGGGTTATACTTTCTGGAATGCCTGAATTACGACTTGGATTGAATGATAAAGTTTTGTTTCAGGCTGTTAGAAGTTTGTTTAAATTGAAAATATTTTTTTAAATTTATTTTTGTTTTTAGAAGGTCGTGGTAAGGCAGTAGAGTTAGAAGATGTCAAATTCCATCAATGTGTCCGCTTATCTCATTTCGAAAGTGACCGAACAATATCTTTTATTCCGCCAGATGGAGAATTTGAATTAATGAGTTATCGACTATCTAGTGCTCAAATAAAACCTTTAATTTGGGTACAAGTACAAATGGAGAAACATGCACATTCTCGTGTTGAATATATTGTGAAGGTTTGTTTAAAATAAAATTTTTTGGTTCCCCCTCACTCCCCCTAGTATTTTTAAAACAAAAATTTTTAACAGGCAAAATCCCAATTTAAACGTCAATCAATTGCAAATCATGTTGAAATTCAAATTCCCGTTCAAAGCGATGCCGATTCCCCAAAATTTAAAAGTATTGTTGGATCTTCCCGTTATGCCCCAGAGAATGGGGCATTTATTTGGACAATAAGAAGTTTTCCTGGAGATAGAGAATATTTAATGAGAGCACATTTTAGTCTTCCTTCTGTTGAAAATGATGAAAGTGAAGGGAAAGTACCTGTTTATGTGAAATTTGAAATTCCTTATTTTACTACATCTGGTTTACAGGTGAAGGGATTTTTAAAATTAATCAAAAATTTAATTTTTAAAGGTTCGTTATCTGAAAATTATTGAAAAAAGTGGGTACCAAGCACTTCCTTGGGTACGTTATGTTACACAAAATGGTGATTACCAAATTCGAACCTAGAATAGAATATACTTTTTGAAGATAAGGAAAAAATCAATTTGTGAGGAATATTTATTAGGGATAAAAATATTTTTATATTAAAAAGTGGAGGTGGACACGACCAGTTAATTCTTCCCTGTGGAGATGTAAAGCTCTTATTCTTCTCTATTCGGCTCGCTACAGGGAAGAATTAATTGGTCTATCCAACTTGATTAAAAACAATTTAAATAAGTTTAAATTGTTTCTGGCTACTTTTATTAGTGCGATTAATTGTTTATTTTTTAAATTATTTTTTAAAAATATTTTTAAGTTAATAGCAAATGGAAAACTTATTTCTTCTATTTTTCTGTTTATTTAACAAAAATATTTCTTGCCTTTGAAAGAAATGTATTCCTTTTAATACTAATAATATTTTCATATCTTTTTCCATTATTTTCGCCTTCTAAATTTTTTTCTTAATTTTTAACTCGAAAGTTGCCTTCTTTTCGCAAACTATTGACTTTTTTTTTAAATTTTTTGTGATCAATTCCAACCCCAATATTGTTGTGATGAATATTTAATAATAGAAAATTGTTGCATCTTTATTAAATTGAATTTTGCTTAAATATTTTTGGAGAATGCGCATTTTTAGAATTTATTTTTCCAAAGAATTTCCAAGAAATCAATTGTTAAATAAATTAGTTTAATAAATTTTGAATAATTGGAGAATCAAAATTTAGTACATATGTATATGTAATAAGATTTATTCCAGAAAATATTTTGTGTTAAAAAATCTTTGTTTCTAATTTTAAAAAATTGACATTAAATGAATAATTTACAGACATAAATAGGCCCTATCTGAATAAGAGGGCGCTTTGATTTTTTTCATCATTTTTTTCCTACCATAATATATAAATAATGGTCAGTCTTTTCTTCCTCGTTCGATTCCACTCTTTTTACCTGTGGCATATTCAAATGAGAGGACAGACAAAGCTCACACACGGACAGACATAACACGAGTGTTTTCTGTCCGAGTCCGTCCGTGTTTTATCTGTCTGTGTCCGCCCGAGTTTTGTCTGTCTGTGTTCGTCCGTGTTTGTCTGGTCTTTGTTCGTCCGTGTTTGTCTGTCCGAGTCCGTCCGAGTTTTGTCTGTCTGTGTCCGTCCGTGTTTTGTCTATCCGAGTTCGTCCGTGGTCAGTCTTTTCTTTCTCTTTGAATCCTGCCATATTTTGTCTGTCCTCTCATTTGAATATGCCACAAGGTAAAAAGAGTGGAATCGAACGAGGAAGAAAAGACTGACCATTATTTATATATCAAGGTAGGAAAAAAATGATGAAAAAAATCAAAGCGCCCTCTTATTCAGATAGGGTCCATAAATATAGGAGAAAAAGGGCATGACAAATATTAATTTAATTTTTCTAGAAATTTAGTTTCGTTATGCTCTTTAGAAAAATAATTTTAGTAAGAGATCAATTATAATTTATTTATTCAACTTTTCACTTCTTTTCTAGTCCTCGTCTACAAATCAGGACTTTTTTCATTATGCTGGTTAACTACTCCACTGCTATTTGTGCTGCAATGCGATCTCCCACTAGAAGAACGCCTCAAACTTAGGCTGTGATACAAAGGGGTAGATCTGAGATTTTTGTTTAAAATTTATTTTATCGAAATAAATTCCACCTTAGGGCATCTTTTAATTGAATACATTCATAATTTTCAATTCCCTCTTGGAACTTTTCGAGCCAAATTTCCTTTAAAAAATAATAAATATTTTAAAGAAATTTATTTATTTATTTTCAAACTTTCTCTTTTTTGTTAGAAGCTTGTAATGTATAAATATTTAATAGTTGATAGTATCGAGTAAGGTGCATAACAACAAATGAATTGTTTAGAGAAGTAACTGAAAAATTTTAAAGGAGAATATTAAATATATTTTGGAGAAATTAAAAAAAATTATTTCTGAATTAATCCAGAGATGGGTCGGAACAGTCAGAGATGTCGGAACCCGACCCACCTCTGAATGAATTATAAATCAAGAAGAAAATTAAAATTGTACAAAATAACGGATAAATTATAATATTTTAAAATATATTTTCCCCCTTACCCCCATTTTGTTGTTGCTGTGTTTGAATATCAATTTGGGATTCAGTATCACAAAAAACACAAGAATCTAAAGGGAGTGGCTGTCGATGGACAATAAAAATTTTATTTCCATTTAAAAGCCCATTTGCATTACTGGCTGTGCCTGAGGAAATGGACGAAGTTAGGCCGCTGTTGCTATTTCTCTGGAATTTATTAAATTAAATTATTAATTATATGGAAGCTGAAGAGGAAATGATGGGGGCGTTGAAGGAAAAATACCAATATTTTTCTGAATTAAATTTTCAAATAATTCCTCAAAATTTTTACTTTTTTCCAAAGCAAATACTACCTTCGATTTAGAAGCAACTTTCTTTACTTTCGTAACTAAAAACATATCATTAAATAAAAAACAATAACAATCAGAATTTCGTCCATTTTCTAAAATTATTTTTAAAAAATAATTTTTTTTCAATTATTTTTAATTTACCAATAAATTCCAAATACCCTTCGTGTAACAATTTTCTTCGAGGATGGGCAACAAAATTTTCACAAAATTGTTTTGAAACTGCATTTTTTAGAAACTTAAAAAAGAAATATTTTTTTAATTAAAAAATATTATTTACATCAGGAATAAAAGCTTTAGGTTCAATTTCAGTAACTGAAGGCCAAACAATTTGTCGTTGAAGTTGTTGGAGACGTTCAAAATTATGTAACCATTGAACACTATCATCTATTGTTCCTTAAAAGAAATTTTATTTTTTTTTTAATTTTGCTCTCCAAAAACTTTACTTAAATTTTCATTCATTTGTTCCAAAACTTTTTCGAGGCTTTGTCTATCTTGTTGAAGTTCTGTATGTTTTAGAATTTCTCTAAAAATTAATTAAAAAATTAAAATATTTATTTATTAATTACTTTAATAAAATAGGTAAACGAGTAATTCGTTGTAAGGGAGAAATTAATAAATCCTCTAATTGTAAACGTTCACAACGAGGGTCAGTCACACAAATCTTCAAAAATTATAAAATTAAATATTTAATTTTTAAAATAAAAATATTTTTTGAATAATTTAGAATTTATTTAAAAAAATAAAAAAATATTAGGGCAACATTGATGTATTAAAAAATTGAGAAAAAAATTTAATGACGTTAAAAGAACTAGTATTTGGGTTGTTGAGTGGGGATTACATGAAAAAATATATTTATTATTTTTTGAAAAATAAAAATAATAAAAACCAAAAATTTTTGAAAAACAAAGAAAAAATGTGGGAAGAAAATAAGAAAAAAATTGTTAAAATTGAAAATAAATTTTGGAAAAATAAATTTTTGTTTAAAAATTAGTGAAAATCAAGCCCGTAGCCAGGATTTTTTTCGGGGGGGGGGGGGTCGCAGGCGAAACCTGCCCTCCTGGCTACGGGCCTGGTGAAAATAATTAAAAAAATTTTTTAATTAATTAAAAAATTTTTTAATTAATTAAAAAATTTTTTAATTAATTAAAAAATTTTTTAATTAATTAAAAAATCCCCTTACTCTTTCAAAATCAACAAAACGTTCATCTTTTTGTCTAATTGTTCCCAAATATTCAATTGTTGCCTAAAAATATTTTTTTATTTAAATTTAAATTTAATCTAATTACTCTATAATTAATACAGTAAGCCTGATATGCAGAAATTGTGGAGGGGCCTTTAGAAAATCTTTTAAATAATTGAACAATCATTTGTGTTGTTTTATTAAATGGAGGGCCGTCATTTTTTACATCGCGGAGAAGGGAAATAAATGAACGACAAAATCGGCGACTAATCTTTAAAGGAAAATTAAATTTTTTAAATCCTCCTCCCCCTCCCCCCTCCTCCTTACTCTAATTAATTGTTCCAAATTTCCAAAAAGAAGATCAGGCTCTACACTTAAAAGGCACCCTTCTACTTGACATCTTTTTAGAGGTTCTTTGTAAACATTTCTTTAAAATTAATTCTTTTTTTGAAAATAATTAAAAAACACCCACCTCAAAACCAACAATTGCCTCGTTAGAAAAATTAATTCACTGTGAAATAATTCCCATACAACCTTTAAACGCCGTTTATCTCTCTCACTAAGTTGTTCATTTAAATTGGTTGTTTCAGAAGAATTAAACATTTCTTCCCATTGAATATTCTAATTAAAAAATAAATAAATTAATTAAACTTTCCGAAAGCTCTTTAAAATATTTCCGGAAATTATTTTTTAAACGAAAATAAACAAAGTAATTTACCTATATTTTTATTATTAATTTATTATTTAATTATATTTTATCATTAATTTACCATTAAATTCTCAAAATACGTCTCAGATTCACTACTCCCTCCCTCCCCGCTTTCACTATCTGTGCCAGTTGAATGATGGGGTGATGGAGATACAGAACCAGAATTATCATTCGAAGTAGCCCCCAAAGCTGCATGGACATGTTTAACCATTTCTCGAGATTTTGCACGATGTGACCATTCATACTGGAAATTTCTTTTAAATTCAAAAATTTTATTTAATTGTCTAACCAATCTTCGTAATATCCAAGAGGACCTTTTCGGTCGACACTCATTTCCGGAATTTTCTGCATAGAAATGAGGGGCGGCAAGTGTTGCACGTTGCAAATCTAAATAAAAATAATTTTTAAATTAACAAAAAAAACTTTTCCCTTCCCCCTTTCCCTTACCAGCTAAAAGTCCAGTTCCATTTGCAGTTACAGCCCTATTAAAATAATGTAATTGTGGGGATTGTTGCCTTTCACTTCTCCTTCTCTTTCCATTATTATTAAAATTATCATCTGTCGTTACATGTACATGAGGTACAATAATAACATTATTACAACATCCATTACCACTAGACCCCTCTCTATATTCTCCATAATTATTTTCTTCATTTTCAAAGTTTTCCTCTTCATTTTCGTCATCTTCCCTATCCCTTTAAAAATTTTAGATTTAGAAAAATTTTTAAAAAATTTCTTAACGATTCTCCCCCCAACATTCCCTTCTCGTCAGGAATAAGAGCACAACGTCGATGTAATTGTTGTTCTCGATTATTATTTATTTCCCCTTCTTCCCCTTCTTTTCCTTCTTTTTCAATATTTTCTTCAAAATTATTTTCTATTTCTGTTCCAATCTATTTTTAAAAATAAATTTTTAAATAATTATTTTTGTAAAATTTACATGATTTTGGGCTAAAAGGTCTCCATGTAAAAAGAAAGCCCCGCCATTATTTGAAGAAAAGGTTGCTGGAATGACTGTTGTAACTGAAGGGGCTATCATTTTCTTTTGGTAATTTATTTTAAAGAATTAAGTAATTTTTTTGTTTAAATTTATCTAAAAAGGAATGTGAATTCAAATTTATTTTAAAAGTTTTAAGGGTTTTAAAAGCTTAAAGTTTAAAAGATATTCTATTTCTGTATGATCGTTTGTTCTTTTGTTAAAATAAGGAAATTCAAAAATTAAATTTATAAAAGTAACAAATTTAAAAAAGATCTTTCAAAAATTAAAAAGAAGAAAAGAGAAAATCCTACGTAAATTCGTTTATTTGTTGAAAAGAAGGCAATCCCGTCACCTTTTACACAATTTAATCTGTGGACTTTATAAAAGTTTAAACTAAAATTTGGTTAAAAATAAAAGATTAAATTTATTGATAAATTGAAAATTAAATTGTGAAAAATAAATTTTTATTTAAATAAATTTATATAAATTTATTTTAAATTTATTTCAGGTTCAAAAAAAATTTTAAATTAAGAAAACATTTTTTTAATATTTTAATAACCTTATAAAATAATCTTTTAAATAAAAATTAAAATAAATGAAGGCATTTATTTCTAATTTAGTAGGAAATAAAAGGTTGGATTAATTATAATTTTAAAGAAAAATTCTAAAAAAGTTTTTTTTACTTTTTAACTATGCTAATTATTAAAATTATTTTTTTTGGATTTTATTTAGGAAATGATGAGAGGGGAAATTTTTATTTTAAAATTAATTTTTTCGAATCTAAACATTAATTAATAAAATAAAATATTTAAAATAAAAAATCTTTAATAAAAAACAGAATGATTGTTATGCAAAGGTTAATATTTTTTATCAAAAAAATTTTTTATAAAGAAATGAACAAAAATTATAAATATATTTCTTTTGTTAAAGAAAATAAGAAGCCTAATAATAAATAAAGAAGCCACGGAAAATTAAAAAAGAAAAAAAAATAAATAATGTAAATTTTAAGCAAAATGCGCGAATTAGTAAGAAAATAAAAAGATTACATGTATTTATTACCAACTAAACACTTACCAACCCTTAACCACTCCCCTCCCCATCCCCTTTTTTATTTTTTAAGATTTATTTTTTCTCCTGTTCTCGTACCTTTATTTTATTTTAAAAACATTCCCACAATCCCTAAAATAACTAAAAAATAGTAAATCGTTAATTGTGTTATTTTATTAGTAATAATAGGTATAGTGAAAATTAAAAGTTTATATCCTTTAATTAAAAAATGTTAAGGGAAAAAAGTAGGGGAAAATAAAATATTTATTTTTGTTTAATTTAAATTTAAAATTGTAAATAATTTTTATAAACAAAATTACCATCAAAGTTTATTAAGAATATTTCAAATTTATTTTCAAGAAATTTAAAAATTAAAGATTAAACAAAATTAATTTAAACAATTTAAAATTGTTGCTTTTTTTAAATTAAAAATATTTTTTATCAGACAATTTTACCAAAAAGGTAATAAAACGGAAAAAAGAAATTTAATCTGACAAAATGGATGAAAGAGAGAGGGGAGGGATGAATAAATTATTTATAAAAATATATAAGTAGAGGAAATACTTAAATATTTTTTTAAATAAAAATAAATTTTATACAATTTTAAGGGTCTCTAAGTAGGTAATTTATCTATGTATTTTTAGTTTATTTATAAAAATTTTTTTTGGAATTTATTTTCTAAAAATAAATTTGTGGGAATTTTTTTTTGTGAAACGATTGTAAATTATAAATAAAATACCAAAATATGGTGAGATTGAGCAAAAATACCGAAATATGGACTGATTTGTGTAGAATATGTGTGGAATCTCAAAATATGGAAATCAATGTAAAGCAGGGTTTTATTTAAAGTCTCTCGTTTTTTAAAATCTGTTTCAGCAAACCATGTATAACAAGACTTAATAATATATTTAAAAGAAATGTCATATAAATTATTTGATAAAATAATATTTTTTGTGCATAAAATTAAGAATAAGAAAAGAAGAAGAATGATTTTCGTGTATAAAATCCATTAAAATATATATTTTAAAAAGATTATATATAAATTAATTATTAAAAATATTTGCAAAAAAATAAAAAATATGGAAGTAAAAAAAGAGAAAAAGAAAAAAGAATATTATATATAAAATTAAATTAAAAATTAATTAATTAAGAAAATAAACATAATTTATTTTGTAATAAATAATTAGGGTCGTCGGTTGCTGTAAATTCTTCAGATATCCGAAACCGAACCGAAGAAACGACCCGAAAAATCCTCGGTTCTTCGGTTCTGTCCAGAACCGACAACCCTAAAACTAATTATTAATATAGTATATATTTTTTAAATTGAGGACAAAAATAAAATATATAAAATCAAAATTTTAAATAAAAAAGACTTGTCAAAAAGTATTTTATTCTCGTCTAGGCATTCATAAGATTTTTTAAGAAGAAACATTTTTTTAAAAATAACAAAAATAGAAATAATTTTTTTAAATAAATTTACGTAAATAGAAATAAATATAAAGTAGCTAAAATATTTTACAAACAATTTTAATAAAGTGAATGAACAACTGACGAGATAATAATTTTAAAAATATGTATGTAGGTGTGTCTTTAAATAAATATATTTAGAAAATAATTATTTTTATTTTAATGAAATTTTAAATAAAAAGTCACAAAATTAAAAATTAAAAAATTTATTTTTTTTAACAATTAATGGAAATTTTGGGAGAATTGTTGGGATATAGGTAGGTTGAGTTGGCAGATATCCGGATATTTGGATCAAAAAATCCGGATATCTGGAAATTTTAGGTTCGTATACCGAATTTAGATATCCAGGGATCTCCCAAAATCTGTCAACCCTAGATACAAGGAAAACCGAATCTTTCCTATAAATATTTACTCCATTAAATTTTCATTATATACTAACTGTAATTCTTTTAGAAATTCTCTCTTTTTTAAATAAAAAAAAAAGTAAAAATCGTTAAAATACATATTAGTAAATTAAATATATTGAGAAAGGAATTAACAGATTTTTAATTTAAGAAAAAGCTTTTTAGCAAAAAATATTATTTAACTAATTTATTTATTTAAAACATTCTAAACAATTTATGTAAATGAAAAAGTTATCTTCTTCATTTTTCTCCTCTTCTCCCTGAAAGGAAAGCGAATGAATTAAAATGGCAGCTAGGAACAATTTTTTATTTTTATTTCTGACTGTTCGAACAGACAAAAAAATTTGCGGAGAAAATTTTTTAATTAAAAAAAAATTTGTTAAAAAAATCTGTCCGCAAAATTCTTCACAAAAAGTACAGCCATACACACTTTTTTGTTTTTTAAAAATCCTCATGGGAAATGCATGTAAATGTTATGGAATAAATGGGATATTAAAAAAAGGCAAAAAAAGTGTTGGAAAAATTGGGGGAAATGTTGAAAAATTGTTTAGAATATTTTGGTGTCTAAATATTTGCCGTAGTAATTTTGAAATTATTAAAATAAATAATTTTTTATTCAAAATATTAACCCTCTCAATCGAGAGATCGCAACAATTTGTGAGTAATTAATTTAGTATATTTATTTTTAATAAATTTATAAATAAAATTACCAATTTCTTTATTAATTAAATTATAATAGATTTTGATTGATACTTAAAAGAAATATAAATTTGTTAAAAATTTTATAAGAAAAACAAAAAATTTTAACGCCAAAACAGTTCTCGCTTAAACAATTTTTTTAATTAAAAAAGTTTTTGGCTTCTTAAGGTTCATAAATTGAAACGAGACGTTTGGGGATTACAAGAAATAAAATTTAGGGAAGGAATTGGGGGGGGGGAGGGGGGGTATTTAATGTTCTTGTGTTCACAGTTTTTTCTGTCTCAGTTTTGACAAAAAATTTTTAAGATAAAAAAGATAAACTAAAAAAACCTTATCTTGCGAAGGAGGAAAGAGGGAGGAGGGGAATACCTAATCTCTATAAAAAATTAATTTAAATAAGGAAATATATCTTTAAAGAAGACAAAATTCTTTTAAAACAATTCTCTAATGAATACAAATTTTTTAATTTAGTTCTCTTTACAAATTAGTAGATTAAAAATCAGCTAATTTTTAATGGTTAATATTTTCTTTCTTAAAAAATTTTTTTAATAAATTTTTTTAATTCTCTAGATAGTTTTCAACGAGAAAATAATTAAATGGAAGGGAAGAAGAATACCTAAAATTTTAAAAGAACAAAGTCGAGAACCCTCTAAATTTAAGTAACTTTTTTTCGGTTCCTTTGTGTTAGTTATATATTTGGGTAAATATATTTTTAAAAATATTTAAAATAAATTTTATTCAAAGCTGAACGATAAAAAGCAAAAATAAAATAAAAATTGCAAAAAAAACAATTAATTTTTCTTCACATATTTTTAAATAAAATTCTTTTTTTCTTTTAAAAAATTTCAAAAATAATTATTTGTAAATCCATCAATATTTTGTACTAATTTTGTATCAAAATAATTATTTAAATTTTTAATTTTGTTGTTATTCCATTTAAAAGGACAGTTTTTAATTACAGAAAATACTGATTCTAAATTGATAAATAAATAAATAATTTAACTAAATAAATAACCATTAGGTAATAAAGCATGTAATGTTTTTGGTAATTCGTCAAAATATTTGTGAAGCATTGCTCCTTCAGCAGATATTCTATCTGTTGGTTTTAACTTAAAAAATATTTTTAACAAGATATTTGTTAATAAAAATATTTAGATGGAAATTATATAATTTATATATGTATGTTAAATTTAATTTGGGGAAGTGTGTGGGAGAAATTCGAATTTAAAGAAAAGCTTTGTCTTACAAGACGGGAAAGGCCTAAAAGAACGGAGGTTAAAGGGAAGAAGACGTAAATAATCCGAGCTATACTCACTAAGTCACACAGCTAGTCATTAATCACTAATCTGAACCCTGGAGAGGTGTCACAAAAAATAATTGCCGGTTAGAGAATTAACAAAAATTAATAGGGCAAATATAAATTCCCTTTAGGTGTAATTAACTGTCTATACTTTTATTTTTAAATATTTGTTTGTTTACTTGTAATAATTGTGTAATTAATTTTAATCCTTCATCACCCAATTTATAAAAAGCTGGCTGATAAGTTAACAAATCAAGTTCAATATAAGTATTTGGAAAAGTAAAAAGTGACCATTTAGGTAAATTAACAACTTCTGGCCATAATTCTAAATTTGGAAGGCCTCGAACAGAAAATATTTTGTGACTAGAAAATTCAAAGAATTTTTAAAGAATTTTCCAAAAATCCCTCACAGTTGATCAGATACCTCATTAGCACCAGGAAATAAAGCAGAACCACTACACATTTCAGCAAAAATACATCCAACACCCCAAATATCCAAAGAAGTTGAATAAACAGTGGAACCTAGAAGGACATCTGGGGGTCGATACCTTTATTTAATTTAAAAATTATTTTTGTAAATCATCTGGATAGACAAAATCGAATAAAAAACAGGGGAATAATCTTATAGGAAACGTCAGTCACCCACTAATTCCCCCTCCCCCCCCCCCCCCCCCTCCAACAAAGTTACCTATAAACAATTTAAATTTAAATAATTCACCATAAAGTAACAACATCATGTGAATATGTTCGACTAGGAACAGATTTAGCCCTAGCCAATCCAAAATCTGCTAATTTAAGTTCTCCTTCTATTGAAAGAAGTAAATTTTGGGGTTTGAGATCTCTGAAATAAAATATTTATTTAAATTTAAATGAAAGGATGAGAATATTCTTTTATAAAAATATTCCTTCCATAATAATATGCGAATTTACTAAGGTTAATATGACAAAAAAACAAGAAATATTTTCAAGAATAAGAAAATGAAAGAGCATTCTTTAAACAATTAATTAATTTACCTATGTAAAATTTTCCTTTCATGGCAAAAAGCCAACCCGCGAAGTAATTGAAATAAAAGAACTTTAGTTTGTAATGGATCCAAACCATTTGGAGAATAATTTTCGAGATATTTGGCGAGATCAGTTTTCTAATAATTTTTAAAATTAAGAAAAAATAAATTTCCAAAATTCCCCTCACCATATATTCAAAAACAAGTACTAAAGCTTTTGGTTGTTGAATTATTATTTGATGTAGACGTACAATATTTGCATGTCGAAGCGCGCGTAAAAGAGAAACTAAAAAATATTTTTCTTAAATTTTATCGGAAAGTTTCTAGTAAATTGAAAAATGTGAGGAAAAGTTTGTTTTATATTTGAGGGTAGATTAGTAACAAAGAAAAGAAAATTTTAAAAATTTATTGCCATAAATAAGAATTTAGTTACGACCTTCGAATCACTAGATCTGACTAGTTTAATTAGTTAATATTACAAATTGTTTTCAAATTAAAACGTTTAAACTTATTTATAATATGAAGGAAAAACAAAATAAGCCACATTACAACTCTGGATTCTAAGCTTTCCCTAAGCTAATAACAAATTTAGAGAAGCCAATCAGCCTAGTAACCACCAAAATTAATTATTTCACTCACTTTCACGTATGGCAGTAAATGGAAGTCCTTCCTGTTCTTGCAATCTAATTTCTTTCAAAGCAACAATTGACCCGTCAATTCGATTTTCGCTTTTCCAAACAGTCTACATATTTAAATTTAAAATAAAAATATATTTTAAAAAATATTTACAGCATAACTGCCTTCGCCCAACATTTCAAGACGTCTAAAGACATCCAATGAATTTCTGTTGCTTCCAAAGGAGGAAGTACCGGAGGAGGCGGGAGACTTTAAAATAAATTGAAAATTAATTTTTCAAACAAAAAATCCCCCTACTTTAGGTTCATCTTCAGTAGCACCCGTACATGAATAATAAGTTTCGCTTTGCGGAGTACGAAAACCTTTAAAAATTAAAGGAATATTTTTAATTTTATTCTATTTTTGGCACCCCAATAAGCAGGATGTACATCATCAAAAAAAGACATATTTCCGAACATTAAAGAATGCTTTTCCTCTCCATTACTGCAACAGGAATTTTTCTTTACTCCAACAATTTCTGAGGAATCCATTGGAAGGGCACCGGAACACATTCTGAAGAAAATTAATTCTTTTAATTAAAATTGTTAACATAAGTTTTAAAAATTGTAAAAGACAGAAACACATATTGGGATGATATTTCAATTTATAAACGAGACTTATAAAAATTATTAAATAATTTCAGAAAATAATTTGTGTATTTATTTTTGAATTTTTCGAAAAAAAACATAAAAAATAAAATTCTGAATTTTATAGAAGAGTTAAACTGAATAAAACTTTTATTATAATTATTCTAATAGTATATCCTTAGCATCAAATAACAATTAATCTTCCTTTACCAAAATTAAAATAAATTACCAATTTATTACTCAAAATTTATAAGAAAAATTAAAATTAAACAACACAAATCAATTTAAAATTAAATAAATATACTCACGTTGTCGATATACGCATTTGTTGATTTGCCCCGACGGAACGTGAACGTTTTTGTTTCCGCCCAGACTTTTCATATTGTTCGTTGTTAATTACAACTGTTTCTATTACTTTTCCGTTAATTTTGTTACTACAATATTTGTTTTTTGAATTGGAACGCCAACGGCCCCACAGGAGGGCATTGACTAGTCTAAAAGAAAAGAGAGTGGTTATTAAGTAGGGATTTTGATTAAAATAATTAACAATTAATTGGTTAGGTAAGGAACAATTAAAACCGGGTACATCCCAAGGTACCGCAGAGCTATAACTTCGTTCAGAATTGTCGAATCCGGGGCGCCCTTGTACGGTTCGATTCAGCTCGTCGAGGCACATCGAAGCATACAGGACGTCCCGGATTCGACTATTTTGAACAAAGTTATAGCCCTGCGGTACTTTGGCCTGCTCCCATTAAACCCAATTATTTGTTTTCCAAAAAATCTTCAATCATTAAAACAATTAATTGTTCTTTTAAAACCAATTAATTCGACAATAAACTATATTTACTTTTGTCCTGAAGAGGAAGACTGTTTTCTTCTTTTAGAATGTTTCCTTCGTTGTTGTTCTGTTATTTCTTTATTATTAATTAAATTAATAATATCCCCATTTTGTTGTTTAGGTTGGATAAATTCACCAAATTCATCTGTTGCCCGAACAGTTTGTTTATATTCATCAACTTTTAAATTTGAGTTTTTAAAAGTCATTAAACTTATTTTTACAATATTCTGGGGCAGGATCAGGAGGCGGTTGTTGTTGTTGTGTTTTCTTTGTTTTTGTTGATTTATGGGAAGGGGAAGAAGCACTTGATAAATTATTATTCCAAGAAAAGCTCATTGGAAGGTGTGGGTGAAACTAAAAGGAAATTTAAATTAAAAATTAAAATAATACAAATATGTACATTATGTGGAAATAAAATAGCAAAAGTAGATTTTGTCTTTTTTGGCCCAATTTTCTTTTTTGGTGGAGAAATTAAATAATTTGGAGTTAAATCAGAATAATTATTTAATTGGGTATTTCTTTGAATGTTATGTTCGTTTGAAATTGTTGGTTCTGATGGGCGTCTAAAATGAATGTTTTGCTGTTGTTGTTGGTCGTTTAATGTTTGTTCGTTTTCTGTTGTTGTTAAATGGGAATGAACTGAAGAGCGCCACCAACTTTAAAAAAATAAAATCAGAATTAAATCTGAACTTAATCAAAATTTAATCAAAATTTAATCAGAATTACCCCTTTTTCTGAGTGCAACAACTAAAATTACATTCACTACCATTTACAATTAAGTTTGTATTATTTGTTGTATTATTGCTTGTTGAAGTCCCAGCAGAAGTTGCAGCAGACGAAGAACAATAAAAACTGTCTCTACCTTCTTTAAAAATTAAAATTAATTAAATTTATTTATTTTATTATTAACCATCTTTTTCTCGATTTTTTTCGCGAGAACGAAATTTTTGAAAAAATTGTTGAGAAGCGGAAGAGGAGGTTGTGACTGATGTTAAATTACCGACAACACCAACTGTGGCTGTTTTGTGCAAATTTTTTCTAAAAATTTTAAATTCCTTCAAAATTATGTATTTATTTATTTTATTACCTTCTAGGACTAGCACTAGAATATCCACTCTCTTTCCCTCCACTACAAAATCCATTGCTTGGAATATCAGAATTTTTTGGTGTTGTTGTTGTGCTGTTATTTGCCTAGAAGTAATTTTTAATAAAATCAGAATATTTTTTAAAAATATTTATTTTTTACTTTATTTAATATCAAAGCTTGTGAGAATGCAGCGGAAGGAGAAGATAAATTAGTTGGTTGTTGACAACAAGGACAACGATAATCCCCATTTAATTCACAATTATTTATTGAAGAAATTAACAACTTTTAATTAAAATAATTATTTTTCATAAAAATTCTTCTTAATTTACTTGTTTATTCCCTAAATTAATTCTATTCAAATTTTCAGAGCTTTTTGACCTTGTTGCGGCCGTTGCTGCTTTAATTAAATGTTTTTGGTTAAGTGTGGAAAGGGAATTTGTTGAACGAAGACGGCCTTTAAATTAATTTAATTTTAAATTTAAAAATAAGTTACAATTTCTTTCTTCAATATTCTCGTCTTCTCTATTCTTTCTTTTATTTGGGGGGACATCAGCTAGCCAAGTACCTAAATATTTTAAAGAATTTTGTAAAATACTATAATAATTTAAATTTAGCATAATAAATTAATATTTAATTATTTTAATAGGTAGGTAGGCAAGGGAATTTTTTAAATAAAGAATTGGGGCTTTATGGATATGAATTGTTATATTTATTTAGTAATTAGTTTAATTTAAATATTTAAAAAAAGCTAAGGTGAATTATTAACATTTTTAATTTATAATTTAATTTTTCCTTACTTAATTGTGTTGTTAATTTATTCCAAACATTAGTCATCTTCTTTAATTTATTTTTTCTTTAAATTAAAAATAATAATAAAAATATTTAAATAAAATTAATTTTTAAATAATCTAAAAATAAATATTTATATTTTATCATTCAACGTTCCAGTTTTTATTTTTTCAATCAATTTATAAAAAATAAATAAAATTTATTTTAATAAGATTAAATGTCAAAAAAATAAAGTTTAAATAAAAATTTTTGAAAGAAAATTTTATTTTTAATTTTTAAACTAAAAATGGCCTTCCAAATAAACTAAAATAAATACTATTTTTGTAATTTTTCTTTTAATTTTAAGTAGAAGGAAATTAAATACGAAAAGAGAAATTTTGGCGCAAATATGTAAAAGGATGAAAAGAACTTCCAATTTTGCCAAATACATATGTATAATTTGTTTAAATAAATATAATATTTAAAGTCATTTAATTGAAAGATTTAAATATTTAAATTTAAAAAATGCCTATTTCTTCAAGACAATAAGTTTCGAAAATTTTGTAATAAAAAATTAAAAATTATAATGAAGGAAGGAAAGTGAAGAAAAAATAAATATTTTTTCCAATTATTTGTAAATAAAAAATTTCAGAGCTCGAGTCCTTTCTCGTATTTCTACAAAGTTACGCCGAAAAGACCCCCCCCCCCCCCCCAATAATTTATTTTTATTTTTTATCATGAACATAATCGTAAATAATAAAATTAATTAATTGTTTTTAATTAAACTAATTTTTTTAAACTTTAATTAATCAAAATCAAAAATTAATTATTTATTTAGAAATTTAATTAATTCAAAATTTATTTATTTTATTACAACCAAATAAATTATAGAAAATTATTAAAAGATTTGGGAAATAAAAAAATATTTTTTTGGTTTATTTCTCCGACCTCCCATAAAAATTTAAATTTGAGTTTATGTAAAGATTATTAAAATAATTTATGAAAAAATGAAATTTAAATAATAAAAATTAATTAAAATAAAGCTTAAATGAATGAAAGGAAAAGAGTGATAAAATCACTCTTTTCTCGAATGATAAAAATAAATGTTAAAAAAGAAGGTATTTTATGTACATCATTTACTCTATTAGATATTGGAGGGGGTGGGGGGGCTATTAAACTGGAGGTGGTAATAATTGAATAATTATTATAATTCTAAATAAATATTCAATTATTCCTTTTAAATTAATTAAATATACATATGTATTTATGTATTTAATTGCTTTATTTGAATTAAATATTTCTAAAAATTGATTTAATTTAAAAAATAAAAGTGATTAGTAAAGAGGCAACTGACAATAAAAATAAAAAGAAAAGTATTTTTGCCTCCCCCAAATAATCAGATGAAAAATTGGTAAGGAAGTACATTTAGAAAATATTAGAAGAGGAAATGATAGCAAAATTAGAAAATAAAAAAAAATAAATTAAAAAGAGGGGGAAGGAGGGGGGGGTGGGGGTGAGGGGTATTTAGAAGAAAAGTGAGAGAAAATGGAAGGATGATTGTGTATTTGTTTCTAACGAAATGAGGAATTAAATGAAAGAAAATGGGTGTGATTCAAAGAAGAAAAAGGGGAGAAAATGAGGTAAATTACATAAAAAGTATAAATATATTACACTCATCAAAGCATCTGTCAGTAAATGATTCCTCAAAAATAAGATTTTTTATTATATGGCCAAAGGCAAAAAATTAGAGAAATAAAGGAAAAGAAAATGGAAGGATATCCACACAAAAATTTTTGGATATCCACACAAAAATATTTTGAAATTAAAAATTTAATTATCAGATTCGCTAGTTATCTCAAAAATCTCTTAAGCAAAGATATCCACACGAGATACGTCATTTCAAGACTTTCCACACCTTTGAGATATCACAGAATAAGGTTAGCGGACAGATATAAGGTTATAATATATAATAAGGTTAGCGGACAGGGTTAGCGGACAGAATAAGGTTAGCGGAATAAGGTTATCCGAACCGAAAATTTTGGATATCCAGCCTTTTTTCGGATCCGGATCCGCCAAATTTATCACAGAAAAGGAAAAAATAAAAATATTTTTTCCTCCTCCAAATTAAATAGGTATATCAACTAAATAAAATAAGCACAAAAGTAATTCAGTACTTAAAACTTTTATTGGGTAAATTCCAATGTTAGGGGGATGAAGTGTTGTCCCCTCTTTATAAAAAATTTAAAAAATAAATTAATTTTGTAAACCAAACAAATTTAATTTAAACGAATTAACAGAAAAAAAAGCAAAAAAAATTCTCAAAATAATCTCCAAAAACTAACAAAAAATAACCCTTCCCCTCCCCCTTCCCCCTCTGTTCAATTTGGCCAAATTTGTTTTCCTTTTTTTAGCCTCTCATTTTTTTATTTATTTCTAACCCTCATTGAATAGAGAATAGTAACTTTTTTTTTATTTTTAGCCCTTAGGGCTTTTACAACAATCCATTCATTTGTGAGGAGTAGGCATGTTACGATGCATTATTGTTTTGGCGCGGACATATGGAATGGTCAAGATTAAAATGCAGAATCACGAACTTTTGTAAAAATTAAATAAAAATACACCTAAATATCATTATAGTATTCCTAAAGCTAAAAAAATTTTTTTGATTATTTCTAAAGTGTCGAATTTTTGAAGGAGCATAGGGTTTAGATTTTTGAAACCAAAAATACATAAATAAAATTTATAAGGAGGTTGGCTGATACTAAAATATTTTTTGTATAAAATCTCACGTTAAGTCCACAATAATTAACAAGTTTATATATGACAGCGCCAAACATCCCCACGCCCTAACAACCCCCAAATACTCTTCATTTTAGTTCTCAAAAAGAAATTTACAAAAATATTTTGGGGAGGATTGTTAATCTTTTTTGCATCTTTTCCCCTTCCACTTTATTCTTCTCGCTTCCGCCCCTTTGCTTTTCTCCTTTTTTGGCACAATTTTCCAAATTTGGCCATACAAACGAAAAAAAGAGAGAATGAAATGGTTATTGGATATATATTTGAGTATATTTTTTTTGAAATTTTATAAATACATTTGGGCTAATTAAAAAATATTTTAAGTGGGTTAATAAAGAGGGAACCCTAAAAGACAATAAAATACAATAGAGTAACCTCTCATTAATAGAAACTGTAAATTCAATCCTTCAACGAGGCCAATTTCCTCCAATTCCGGCTAAATTAAGATACATATGTAGCTTGTCCTTATCTACATTTTCTGACTATTCCTGACAAGAGTCTATAAAATAGAATATACCTAAATAATTTATTACCTCTATCTAATCTACTTAAATATATTTACTACTCAAAATAACCATCACAAACATTTTAGTCAAAAAATAATTTTTAAAAGCCAATTTTAAAAATGCGGCAGCTTTTTGAAGAAAAAATTTATTTTTTCGTGTTTAGTAAGTCATTTTAACATGACAGGAAAGGCTTTTCATCATAAAAAAAAGAAAAGAGAAAAGCTACATAATCTCACTCACTCAGTTAATTCTAAAAGTTATATTTTTAAAAATATATTTTTTTAAGAAAAACAGCGGGAAATATAAAAATAAATAAATTTAAATAAGTTTTGTGTATTTTACAAGAAATTGAAGGGAAAAACCTGCTGCTTTTAATTTTTTATTAAATTTTATTTAAATATTCCAAAATATATTTAATAGAGTTAAAGCTGAAAAACAAGTACCTAATTTTCGTTTATTTTTAGATCTGAAAAATATTAAGAAAGTTAAGAAAAATTCGGATTGAAAATAAAAATATATAAAGCTGGATATAGGAAATTTTATTAAAATTTTTAATCCAAAAAATTTTGTTTTGAAGTTTTTACTTAAAAAATTTTTTGTTTTAAATTTTAATTTAATTTAAATTTAAAAAAAATATTAAAATTAATTTTAAAAATAAACAACAATTGTCTACTTAAAAATAAATAAATTCTTATTTCCCCCTCCCCTCTCTATTGTTATACCAAAAAAATATTTTTTTCTTAATTTCCCCTATTTTTCTAAAAATATAATAGATTAAAAATAAAAAAAAATTTTAGTAAAAATAAAGAAAATATTTATTTGGATATTTAATAGAAAATTAAAAATCAACTAATTTAAACCTCTAGAAAACCTTCCTTAGAGGATCTTTAATAAATATGTAAATATTTTCTAAAAATGATTTTTAAAAATTCTTTCAAATAAAGTAAAATAATCGGTTAAAGATAAAAGTTTATTTAAATTATTTATTTTTTGGTAAAGAATTAAAATATTTATTTAATTTTTAAGAGAAAAAAAATTTCAAGAAAAATATTTTTAAATATTGTTTAATGGGAAAAGAGAATTTTCCTTAAATAAATTTTCTAAAAAAATTTTTTGTTTAAATAAAAACATATGTTTTTTTATTTTTAAAAATATTTTTTGAAATAAGAGAAAGTGTTCTAAAAATGTTGGGAAAATGAAGGGAAAGAAATATTTTAAAATTTATTTAAAAAAATAAACTTTATAAAAATGTTGTTAAAATTCGAAAAGTTATTTTAAAAAGTTTTTGAAAAAATATATTTAAGGATTAAAGGATATGTATATGTATGTAATTATTTTTTGTGTTGTAAACGATGAAAAATGAGAAGATTTTTAAAAAAATATTAAAATATTTTTTAAAAATTAAAAAAAAGAATTTTAAGAATAACTAGAATTTTTTGTAAGGCTTTTTTGTAAGAAAGTAAAGTTTTTCAAACATTTATTTCAGCAAATACCTAATTATTTTAAATATTTTTTTAAATTAAAAATAATAAAAACTAGACAAATATATAAAATAAAGGAAAAAAAAAGAAAAAAAAATTTAAAATTATTTGTAAAAAAATTTTTTTAGTAAATTTGTCCTCAAACGGAAACAAAAAAAATATATTTAAATAGAAAGTAGCTTCTCCAAAAAAATCTAAAAAAGTTCTTTTAAAGAATTTCTTTGTCCCTCCAGGGAATAAATATATAAATGTATATATTTTTGTTTTGTTGTATTTAGTATATACATACTTCAATGGC